TCCGGAATATAATATATAATATTCCGGAATCAGGAATATGTGTATTCCGGAATCCGGAATATTATATACCCGATTCGAGAATTTTTTTTTTCCGTGTCGAGCTTCGAAGATCGACACTATCGTCGATCTCATACCGAAATTGGGTAAAGTCGTACTGGAAAGATTGTAGCCCTCGATTTCTATTCGCCCATCATTGTCATATGGAACCCAAAGACTAGAATCTCGCCAGTACGCCTGTATACCCTGAGTGGAGTCGGCTCGAATTAGGGGAGGGTGTGCCTGTACCGCCCAGCTAAGGGAAAATGCCAGTTTTATATTTTATATTTCAACTTGAGTATAAAAAACGTATTTTTGAGACTTCTTTAACTATTGAACTCGTTATTCTCGAAGTGTAGACACCTAATTCTCCTTAGAATCCACAAAATTGATTGAAAATAAAAGAGAGAGCCTATTGAGCGGTACTACCCGCCATCGGGTAATACCGCTCGGCACGATTCCAATGCCGCTCATAGGGTTTTGCGTGTATCGCTCGCGCCGCAATCTAACCTGTACTCGAGTGCTGTCGAGCAACTACGTGGCCGATCCTATGAGCGGCATTACCGTCTCCGCTCGGCGTTAACAAAATTGTTGATAATTATTGACATGAGTGGAGTTTTGAGTTCGAATTGGTCTCAAATTACGCGTGAAAGTACCACGAATCGAATAACCACAGTTTAATATGAGAATTCAGCGTTTGAAACTATCAAAAACCTTAATTAAAAGTCCACAAATTTTCCACTGTAAAGATCTCAAAACTTCGTTACGTATTTTTCCATATTTAAAGTGGTAAATAAAGTGAAAATTTTCCGACAATCACATCCTATCATCAAATTCTTCATGATCAGGAACAGAAAGAAATTTTTAAGTTCATGGTTGTGGAGAAAATCGGGTGAGCGGTATTACCCGCTGAGCGGTACAGGCACACCCTCCGCTATACTAAATTTTACCAAAGAAGTAACCTCGATTTCAGTGGTGGATAACACTAACATAAGTGGGGATTTGGGTACAGTGGGGGTATACAGTTGAGGTTACTTCTTTGGCAAGAAGCACTTTAACCACATATCGTCGCCCCCAGGAAAAAATTATCTTGGATCTGAGTGGTGGGAGACGTTGAGTCGGAGCTAATTTCGAGAGAGTGGGGGTAGCCAGCCACGACCATTCGTTGTTGGCGAGGACTAACTACGCAACTCCGAAATATAAAAACCCAGTAAAGTTGTGTGGAATCGAGCTTGAATCAAGCTATCACACGGAGAGAAAAGTCGGGGAAAAATTCTAGTGTTCAGCACCAGAAACGAGGCGCAAACTACCAAACTCCCATATTTTAATCGAAATAAGAATTAAAATTCTATATCAGCACGGGAATTTTGCTGTAGATTAATCAATTTATGCAAAGAAGCACGATATAAATTCTAGAGCTGGCTAGAAAATTTCCCGGTGTGTCAATTTTGTGAGGAATTCCATAGAAAATTGTGGGAAAAACTTCATTAATTCTTGGTAACATTAAAAATTTTATTGTGCAGTTGGAGAATTTTTCTAGTCCTAGCACTAGAATTTTTGCCATTCTTCCTATCCTCGTACGTGTACGCGCGACATCGGCAACGTTCGGCTCGCCGAAGTGAGTCGAACAGCTGCACTCGGGAGTCCCGAGTGGAGACTTACAAATGACGTCTTCAACGTCGGGTAACGTTAGCGCGTGTTCTGCAGAATTATGTGATAATCAGGGATTATTGGGCTTATTTTTCTCTGAAAGTGTGATTAACCATATCAAATTTGTGGGAAAAAGAAGTGAAACAACCGGTCATAGAAATTGTTGAAAATTACTGACATTATTCAGTGATGACATTTTAAGATAATGTAATACCCTGTAATCGTGGAACAAATGCAATAAAAAAAAATATAAAAATGATTCGTTGGCTTAAGGCTCATTTTTGTTGAAACTGTAGTACATTAATTTAAATAACGTTGATGTTATTAATAAATAATTAAGGGAAAAGAAACAAAAATTGTGGCCGGGGAAAATTTTTTTGTCTGACGAGTAATTTTTTGTTTGCCGATAAAGAAGATTAAACGACAAATTTTCTAGTGCCGAAGGGGAAATTTTTATGTGTTATGGCACATTGCGCCTCGATTCTAGTGCAGCACTAGCATTTTTCCCGGAATTTCTTCATAAAAATTCTCTGCCTTTTCTCTCCGTGCACTATCAATCTTGTACGAACATCAATGCCTTGTATTCATTCGAACCAATGTTTTTAACATTATCAATATGATAATTCCGGGACCATTCCCGGATAGAAATTCAACCGGGGATTCAGCCCCAACTCGGGTGAGCGCGAGCTCAGCCTCGGCTTGCCGCTTGACCTGAGTTCACGCCGCGACACGCCGCTCCATACCGGCTCACAGTCGAACGCTCATCAGACGGCATAACCCGGCACTTGAGTTTGAGCTGTGGCTGAACGCTTAGAACTCAGCTCCGATTGAGTCGTGTCGTTTCGAGTGGAGGGTGGAATAGAATGATATTTATGCATTTGTAGAATATCGATTTAAAATTTGAATACTTTGGAAAATCCTTGTCTTCTTACTATAAAAAAAAATGGAATTCCACTGAACTTTCTATAAAATTTGAAATTTACTGATTTTTCCATCTGTCATCGAATATAAAACCTGGCACTTTCTCTAAGAATTCCTATTGAATTTCTATTGGAGCTCTATGAGAATTCTATTCAAGTTTTATTACAATTCTATTGAAAAATTATTTTTTTTTGCGTCAATTCCATTGGAAATTATGCAACTTTTCCCCGCATTTTTAATAGATATTTGTTTGTAGAAAAAAACCATTGATTTTTCTAGATAATTTATTCTGTTAGGATTTCTTCCACAGAAACTATTGGGCATGGATTTTCCAAGTTTTGTTCCTGCATTTCATTAAAAGAAAAGAAAAACCGAGCGGGAAAAACTTAGAAATCTTACGCCTAAGAAAATCTATAGGAACATAAAAACCTATTTACTTTCTTGCACCAAATTTTACCTTAAAAAAAGACTTTATGAAGTTGCATAATCTCCTATAGAATCGGCGCAAGAAACGAATAGAATTCTAATAGAACTTCCAGAGAATTCTCATAGAATTCCAATAGAAATTTAATAGAAAGCGCTAGGTTTTTTTGTTGAATTTTTTCATGCGTGTTATTTTGGCATACCTGTATTCAACATTTCCCTAATAAATCGTAGAATATTCTTAGAACTCGTAGGCCTATCGAAAAATGAAGAATATCCTCTCCTGTAGCGTTGATAATTAATAATAAAGGTTCGTTAACGTTTTTCAAGTGATTATTTTTCTTGATTTTGTTTGTTGTATTCGCGAGAAAAAAGAAAGTTTTGACTACGTTTCAGTGAATTGTTCTACCTTGTATTTTCAGATTAATCCCATTCGATTAGTTAATATCACGTTATTTCTGATGAGCTTGTGATTGTTCATCTGAAAAAGCATGCCATCTTCACATTTATTCGATTGTTTTTTCGCTCAAATCACGATGCCATCGGACCTGTCAAATCATTATTGAGGTTAAGTATACTGGGATTGAGTAATTGGAGATGAATCGGAGGTTGAGCAATGGCCATTCAACTAAAACCCGGCGAAGCGTTTCGCGTAATAGTCTAACGCTGGGCTGTGAGCGCGTGACGGAGCTCAACCTCGGGTACATGTGACGCGCATGGAGTTTATCCCAAGCTGGGGAGGAGTGGCGTATTTCTAGCTGGGATACGGGTTCCGAGCCGAGCTCGAGCGGCGTGATTTCTACCCGGGTTCCAACATACAAGAGAAATAACGGTAAAACACATTAGCTATTTTGAGACTGTTCGAAATTTCTTGAGATTCTATTGAAAATTCTATTTGTTCTGTGCGCTATTTTTTTTATCGTTATTTTACATCGCTGCGACCCGGTTAGGGTATATCCCACGTACGAAATGCCAGTGTTGGAGAAACGGGCCAAGCCTGGCACAAGCCTGGGCTTGCCAAGTCTGGGCGCCCAGGCTTGGACCGAGGTTCGGCCATCCCTGGGGACCAGGGCTTGAGTCTCGGGAA